TTTGATTAGAATTTAAAAGAAAAATCCCAGGGCAGGCTAGCTGTAAATCTCGGTAGCTGCCTGGAGGAGGAAGATGGAGAAGAGAAAGAAGGGAGAAAACACCATGCTCTTTGGTTAAGCTGCCATAGAGGTCAGCCACATGGTGGTGACAGGAGCTTTAGCAAAAGACCCAAAAAAAGTGTTAGGGAAAGCGGGTTTAGAAAAGAGAAGAAAAGAGCCGGGGGTGAGGGTGGGGGTGGGGGGGGTGGATGTCAAGGTCATGATGGGGAGCTCATGGTCTCTGGACCAACAGCCAAGGAGCCTGCATGGGACCGACCTAGGCCCTCTGCATGTGTGTGACAGTTGTGTAGCTTGGTCTGTTTGTGGGGCTTCTAGCACCCGGTTCAGGGCCTGTCCCTGGCATTTAGCTGGCTTTTGGGAACCTATTCCCCATGCTGGGTTGCGTTGCCCAGCCTTGATGCAGGGGGAAGAGTTTGTTCTTGCCTCAACTTGAAGTTTTGACTTTGCTGTGTTGACTCCTATGGGAGGCCCACCCCTTTCTGAATGGAGACAGAGAAGGAATGGATGGGGGAGGGGGTTGATAGGTGGTGGGGGGAGGGAATGGGAGCAAAGGAGGGAGGGGAGACTGTGGTCAGTATGTAAAATAAATGGAAAAACTTTTTAATGTAATCTTCAAAAGAGAGAGAGAGACAGACAGACAGACAGAGACAGAGAAAAGCTAAAGTATCTGGGGAATTCAAAAAAGTGGACAGACTTAGGAAGCTGCATGGCTGCTGCCCAGTAAGCCACTGGAATAGGGAGCAGGCAATGTATGGCAAACAGGTACTATACACAAGCCTACCTCACCCCTTTAAATAGCTACTCACTGCACTATACCAACAGTAGTAAGGAAGATGTGAACAGATTTCATGAGTATTTTTCAATTAAAAATAGACAAAGGGCCGGGTGGTGGTGGCGGCGGCGGCAGCGGCGGTGCACGCCTTTAATCCCAGCACTCAGGAGGCAGAGCCAGGCGGATCTCTGTGAGGTCTACAAAGCGAGTTCCAGTAAAGGCGCAAAGCTACACAGAGAAACCCTGTCTCGAAAAACCAAAAAAAAAAAAAGACAAAGGGCAGGGCATGGTGGCACATGCCTTTAATCCCAGCACTCAGGAGGCAGAGCCAGGCGGATCTCTGTGAGGTCTACAAAGCGAGTTCCAGGAAAGGTGCAAAGCTACACAGAGAAACCCTGTCTCGAAAAACCAAAAAAAAAAAAAAAAAAAAATAGACAAAGGGCAGGGCATGGTGGCACAGGCCTTTAACCCTAGCACTCTGGAGGCAGAGGCAGACAGATGTCTGTGAATTCAGGGTCTGCCTGGTCTACATAGCAGAGATCCAGGCCAGCCAGGGCTACATAGTGAGACTCCATCTAAAAAAAAATGCAAAAAAATGCACACACACACATCCATACACCCATTCCCCCCCCCCCCCCCCCCACAAATGGTATGCAGGAAACTACTCCATACCCAGTTACCCAACTAAATTAATATCTACTTATGTTGTTGTTTTTGATACATTTCCCAGCACCCTCGTGGTGGCTTACAAAGGCCTATAACTCCAGTTCCAGAGGATCCAAAACACTCTTTTGGCCTCTGTGGGTACTGCATGCATATGGCACACAGACATACACAGGCAAAACACCCATACTTTTAGAGAGTCTGAATGTATGTGATATGGGGGCTGATTTTTGAACACATTCTTCTGACATTTTTCCTAGTGAAAGATTTACACAAGTTTAGCCTGTCTTTAGTATCCTGGTGAATCCAGCAGCCTTAACACTTCTCCCTCGGTCATTTTGAATTGACATGTTAATGTATCGACTATGTGTAGTGTATGTAATATCAGATTACTAAATTGTCATGTGCTTTTGAGATCACGGAGAATCTGGCTCTGCAAGTGGGTTGCTTCTCATTTCAGACTCAAGCATGTTTGTCACCAAGTATTCTTCAAAGCTTCTTGTCCGGGGATGGTTTTGACCTCCCTGAGTCTGCAACAGGCAAGAGCACAGCAAACATCCCAAGGAAAAACACCGTGTCCTTAAGAACAACTAGAAGGTAAATAATTTCCAACAGATCTTACTGTTGCTTAACCAAAGACACAAAAAGAGCCTGCTGCAATAGGAAAAAGAATCCGGAAGTTAAGTTGTGGAAGTTCAGCCATGGAGAGAAAGCTTATTCAAAAACTTCAGTTGATCACCTCATCATCTTCAGTTGGTTTTAATTGGATGTTGTAAGCTCCTGATTTGACCATGTTATCTCTACGTGTTCTTATGTGTTCTTTACTTGAAAGCCTCACCTGAAGGGGGACACTCTGCTCTGAGAGGGACTCTCCATAGGGTGCTCTCTGTATTGAGAACTCCAGTTAATTGCCTCAAGAGCACTTCCTCAATTAACTTCTGCTGGATATTTTGAGTGTCTGATTTGCTGATACTTTTCTGTCTGTCTGCCTTCTGTCTGTCTATTTATCATCTGAATGTCTGATATTGCTATTTATTTTTTACTTCAGCTTGCTGTATAATTAATAAATTCACTCATTCAAAACTAAAAATAAAGATATTTTAGATCATTCTCCAGACCATATAGCAAACTACGTCTTATAGTAATTTCTTTTGAGATGGGGTCTTGAGTAGTTCAGTCTGGGGTTAAAATTACTATGTTGCCCAGATTGATCTCGAACTCATGATCTTCCTGCATTTGCCTCCTGAGTGCTGGAATTATAGGCACTACACACTACTTTTAGTAAAATTTTTAAGTTCCTCAAAGACTTTCTCATAAGGCTTGACATCACCATGATCTATTGTCCTGAGCAAAGTGCTATTAGGAAAGGCAGTCTGCCAGAGGCCCTGAGTGTCCTTGTGTGTTCTTACTGCATATGCCAAGAATGTAGGGCTCTGAGCATTCTTTACCCAGGCAGACAATTTTTCAGTTGTGCTTACAGTAAGCAACCTTGAAGTATGAGGTAACATCTTCCCTTGGACACAGAACAGGCTTATGATTTCTTTGAAAAAATAAATTTCCCAGTCCCAGTGCATATTTAAGCCTCTATCATGGGCCCTTTGTCACCCCAAGAGATTTGGGAATCAGAGACAGTACAAATCAGCATAAAGTTCTAGTTAATGCTGCTCTATAATAATGCATAATAATGTATCTCTGACCCAGCACTTTACTGTCTTCTGCCAGCATCCACTGAAAAACAGCAGGCTAACTTGTTAGTTTATAAGTAGGATAAAACCTTAGATTTGGTACAGTTCTTGACAGGTGCTTGCAAATACTATTTATAAAGCAGTTATGCTTTGGAAACTTTTCCTACCAGTGTAATTTTTAGCATGTCTGTGTACCACCAATGCCATTAACCTTGTGTTCTATTTAGTGTTTTTCTTTGAACCGACTTGCTTATATCATTTGAATAGTTTTTCTAGAAAGGAAAGTTTATAACATGACCCTCCACCTGAATTATCTTCATATACTTTAAACCAAAAGTATCCAATACATGTTCAAATAAATACATGGGCATTACAATATAAAATTCATACCTACTGTCTAAAAATCACCTTCCCCTTCTTCCAGGTCCTTTTCCCTTAACATAGGTTATCTGATTGCATCTAAAGCTGCCGTGTCTCGGATCAAGATTCCCACAACCAATGTTTCTGTTTAGTGAATTCTGAGCTAGTGCTTTGTTTCTTTTGAAAAGTGCCCTTTAAGTCCCCTGATAAAGTCTAGTGTTTTGATCTGCAGTGAGGGGAAAACTGCCCTCTTTTAGATAAGTTTGCCCATGACAACCCAGCCATCATCCCTACTAGATGCCTACTACAGGCTGGAGCAGAGAAACCGAAAGACGGTCTACATGGAGAAGAGTGTGTTCCAGGTGAGCCATTCCACATCCTGCTCCGGTGACCACCTTCCAAGCTAAAGAAACTTGGATATACTTCTTTCTGTAAAATTGGCACTGTGTGCCCCTTGATTCTCACATTACTCCGGCCACAATCCCAGCCACATCATCATCTGTCCAGCTGGCATAACCTTGAAGAAGAGAACTGAAGAGCTCCCAAAAGGAGCATCATAAAGGAAAACTTATATACAGGTGGCATATTACCATCACACTTTCTTTCCAGCCAGAGGTGGGAACATCCGCAAATCTGACTTCAGCCTCCCTATAAAATTTACACAAGTATTGGGGTACTTGTTGAACCTGAGAGAACCTGTCATCAGGCAGCCTGCTGAAGAGAAATCACTCACTATAAGGAAGCACAGTCAGTAAGACCAAATGGCACCTTCACATCCAGGGCAGGGATTCTCATGAAAGCCTAAGTCTGTTCTTCAGACTTAGCTGTTCCGGTCAAACTCTCAGATGAGCCCATTCTATCTGAGCCTTATAAAAGGAAATAGGATCCCAAAGCTGTCGTGGTATAACCATAAGACACTGTGACCCAAGTGTCTAACAAAAAGAAGAGATGGACAAAATTTCCATCACATTTGATGTATGCTGATCTGGCCCACTAGAGGTACCAAATAAGTGTTCTGGGCTTGGTACTTGAGAATTTCATGCAGTACCAGGGAACTGAATTTTTCAGAATGGGGAAGAGGGGCTGGAATACCATGTTAGTATCATAAAGCAGCTAGATGGGAGTCTAGACAGGTATAAAGGAGTATATAGCACTCACTTAACAATTGCTTGAGTGAGTTTGTTCTCAAGCACAGTTTGAGTATTACTTTCTCTGCGTCCAAATAGCAGGAACAAATCTCTAGTATTTGGATCCTGTGTGAGCAAATGGTGATAAAACCCTGTCAAACAGCTCTCAGTACCTTATTTGGCAACCACAAAATTCCTATAAGATTATTATGCTTATTATTGCAGATGAGAATAGATGTCAATTTTAGTCTTTTAACACAATGGTTCTAATATTTTGTCAATGAATAACAAGTGCCCCACTATTTTAGAAATAAACTGATAAGTGCTGTTGGATGCTTATTTTTAGTTATAAAACCTTTATTATTTTTAGCAAGAATAATGCATGTTCATTTTAGGAATATGGCAAATACAAATAAGCAGAAGAAAAATCATTCATCTTTCACAAGTTTATATGTGCATATATGTAACATACAAAGGTACTCTTGTCTTTCAAAATACGATATTCTCATATTATTTTGTATCCTTTTCTCATTTTGTATCTCATCAGAAGCTCATTTTTTTTTTTTTACAAATCAGTAAAGCTCTCTTATTAAAAGCCAGAGACTTGTAGATTGGTTCAAATATAATCAACAGTAAGATGCAGACAAGAAGAGATACATCTAAAACCACTAACAGCAACAGATTCAAAGCAGGGAGATGGGCAAAGGTATATCAGAAAAATGCTAATAAAAAGAAAGTTATATTGCAATGGTAATAGCAGATAAACAGAAAGCAAGGCAAACTACATTAAATATGGGTAAGGATGGTTTCGATTAGCCTTCCAACGCATCACTATAAGTTTGTTTCTCACTCTCCTTATCTCATCTATTTCATCCACATCTCTAAACATATCCTCACTGCTCAAATGCCTGTTGTGTATATCCTCTTTAAAATCCTGAAGAGACTGAATCAGCATCTCCCGAAAAGTTTCCTCTGATTTTTCCTCCTCTTCTGGTCCTTCCCCCTCCTCTGGCTTTTCCTCGGGCTTTGGCTCTTCCTGCTTTGGTTCTTCCTCGGGCTTTGGCTCATCCCCATTTTCTGGGTTTCCTTCCATCTTTTGGCAGGGTTTCATCTTGTGTATGCTTCTCTTCCTTCTTTGCTTCTTCCTGCCTATTCGCGACTGCAGTTATTTCTAGGAAGCAAGCAGGAGACAGTAAATGGAAGACTTGGTAAGTGTTCAGGTGCTGTGCACAAAAGGTCTCCTACCGTTTATGCGCTCCCTCGCTCCCTCCCTCCCCCCCTCTCTCCCTCTTTCTCTCTCTCCCCCCTCCCTCTTCCTCCCTCCCTTCCTCCCTCCCTCGCCTTCCCTCTTTCCCTCCTCTCTCTCCCTCCCCACCCCATTTTGGTCCAACAGACCTCAGCAAATACCTTCCACCTGGAAAGCCCAGTCCACAATCAAGGTTTCCTTGTCCCCGCCCCTCTTACCTCCATTTTTCCACCCCCTCCCCTCTCTAGTCCCTCCCTCAAGCATTTTTCCAAGGCCTTCCTTCCCGCCTCCCGCCCCAGCCCTCCACAAATCTTTCTCCCTTTACAGGCCTAACCCGGGGGGCCCTCCGAAAGGGGGGTGGGTTGCTTCAGGGGGGCGGGAGAGGGGAGTGTGGCCTTCAACCTCTGCCAGCCTTCACCAACCCCCACCCTCGAGTCTTTATAAAGTTCCCTTCACTTACCAGGTAGTGATCGGGTCAGTTTCTTTCACCTACTTATTTTAGCCCGCAGCGGTACAAAGAACAAACCTGCAGGCGAACGGAGAAGAAGGGAGGGGAGGTTGGGGGTGGGGCGGGCGGGAGGGCGGGCAGGCGAGCCAGCCCTGGGTGCTCAGCAGAGCAGCACCGCGGAGCGAGCTCACCGAGCTTTCCTTAGTCCAGGTCTTGCTTACGGAAGTTTCCCACCCTTTGTTTCCCACAGGACTCCTCCTTCCCACCCCTCAAGTTGGCCTGTCTTTCTAGTTAGACAGGGGGGTAAGAAAGAGAGATTATTTCCCAACTATCTGTAGATCCAAGAGGAGGTTCGGGAAGCCCAGCGGCTGTCAGAAAAGAGGTCCCCAATCTCGGAGTATGATTATTTTTGAGCCGTCATAGGTCTCCTTGCCTTTCTTTTGGGACTCCCTAGTCCCTTTCACAACTGTCCTTTCCTGCAGAAAAGGTAAAGGGTAGAGGGACGGACTTAACTGGAACTGAAGTCGCTACCCTAGACCACCCTACACTAGAAAACCCCAGGCAAGACCCCCATCTGACACCAACCTGGAGAATTTAAGCAAGCCGTCTCCTCCTTCCGCGGCCCTCTCACACCGCCGCCCGCAAGGCTGAAGGAAGCTGGTACCCAGATGGAAACAAGGACCAGACTAACAGGATTTCTGCACACGTCGACTCCTGGTCACATGAGAGCTACGTCACCAGTGAGCTCGGGTCCTCAATCTCCACTCCCACAAAAAGCGCGGCAGATGTGGGCCCGCCCTCTGCTCCCTCACCTACCCCCTTCTCAAACACACATTTGGCCTTGTCAGTCTTTTCTGGAGGAAAAAAAAAGTATGCGGGTTGTTTTTCTGTTGTTTTTGTAGTTCTCTGATTACTAAAGAGGGGCATCTTATTTTCTGGAGCTACGAACTTTTCTGCTTCGTTTAATAAATTGGCCCTTCCTCTCTCCCACTCCCAACTGCCAGTATCACTAGCTCCCCAATCTATCTTTCTGTGGCCCCTCCCCCTTCATCTGAAATATACTCCTTTGTTGTGTGGAACCAGGTAGGTAGGGCAAGAATAGGGACAAAAAAAAGGACCTTGGAATAGGAGTGGGATTTCTTGAAGGCAATTTAAACTTTATTCTTAATACTTCTGTAGTCTTTTCAAAAGTAATGTTTTACAGTCAGAAGTAACAGCCAAATTATTTCAGATACATGCATGGATTCATACATGTATGTTATTTAGACTAGGGCCTGGTATATAGTAAAGGCTTTAAAAGTATATGCTTTTAAAATGATTATTATCTTGTGATGTTATTAGGGAGAGTGATTTAAAGTGAATAAAAATAATGTTTGACTCTCGAGCCCTGGTGGTAGTACTGTCAAGAAGTTGTGCTGCCTAAAGAATCACTACTTGATCAGTTGTCGGGTCCATATTGTTAGCACACAGTAGGTCTCCTCATCTTAAAGAAGGTGATGCCGGCCGGGCGGTGGTGGCGCACGCCTTTAATCCCAGTACTCGGGAGGCAGAGGCAGGCGGATCTCTGTGAGTTCGAGGCCAGCCTGGTCTACAGAGCGAGATCCAGGAAAGGCGCAAAGCTACACAGAGAAACCCTGTCTCGAAAAACAAAAAAAAAAAAAAAAAAAAAAAAAGAAGGTGATGCCGTTCATATCATGAATTGTTGGGATGTCTTAACACTGTAAGTGTGTCTTTACTGCTCCAAACCACTTAGCTAATATAGACAACCATCAACATTCACTCATTCCTATTTTATTTCACTTCTCAGGGGTGCATTTGAGACCTAAATAACTCAGGGTTAGCTTGACTCTCAATCGCTTGAGGCTATTGGAAAGAACACAGACGTGATAATGGAGCTGTGGTTTGGATCTGGTTTGTGTTCCCCTTTAATGGGGGTGGGAGGAGCTCTAGCTTCTTTATCTTTTAAATGACTTTAAAGTCAAGTCACCGGTTTTGTGATGTTAATGGTTGCTTGGGTTAGGGACTTGTAAGCCTCTTTAGGTGAAAGTCCTGGCTTTTCGCTTGCTCACACGTGCCCAGTGGGAGTCTACGATGTCTAGAAAACAATGTGGCATTGCTGCCTTCCTGGTGTAGCTTCTCTTTGCTTACCTTAACCTTTGAGGTAGATTGCTGCTCCATTTTACATGCAGCCATAGCAGTATTTTAAGAAATGGTTTGTTCAGAGCAATAATACAAGGCTGATTGGACTTAGCTTTGCACAATCTAGCTCCTCTTCAAAGCTGCAGACACCAAGATAAGAGTAACTAAGACAATGGCCCATTCCTGGCTAGTGGCGTGGTGGTATCTAAAAGTCTCCAGTCAACAGTCCTTTGCTGCCCGTTGCCTTTCCTTTTCTTCTCTAAAAAGCCCCTTTGCATTCCTGAGTCCACTGAAGTAGTCTTTGTTTGCAATAGCATCTCATTTTATTTGCTTTGTTAGCATTCCAAGTGAAATCTTTACTTGCCTCAAAAACGTATCCTTGAATCATTGTCCTTTTCCAGCCACAAGTTAATAGCCTTGCATTTGGTAATACCTTGAAGTTTGTATGTTGGAAACTTGGTCCCCAAGGGTAATATGGTAGGTGAGGGAACCTTTAACAGGTGCAGTCTAGTAGGAGGCTATTAGGTCATTGAAGGGTATTGCCTTGGATAGGAACTCATGCAGTGCTCAAGGAACCCTGCTTATTTCTCACAAGAGGGTGGTTACAAAAGGGGGAAGATGACCCCAACACCACCTAGGACTGTTCTCCAGCGTCCTCTTGTCCTTCCCACCAACAGCTGCCACGTTGTCATCCATCATGCCAAGATGTAGTCAGTAACCCTTCATCATAGAAGTCAAAGCCAAGTATTATGCCTTTGAATCTCAGAAATTAAATGCTAAATAAACTGCTTTTTTCATTAAAGTGTTAAGCCTCGTATATTTCGTTATAGTAACAGAAAATGAACTAATACAGTCTCTGTGCCAAACTTAGAGCTAGTTGAAAGATCCCCAGTAAGGTACACTCCTTGTGTTGATCTTTTTGTTTGTTTGGTTTTTTTGTTTTTCAAGACAGGGTCTCTCTGTGTAGCTCTGACTGTCCTGGAACTCATTCTGCAAACCAGGCTGGCCTTGAACTCACAGAGATCCACTTGCCTCTGCCTCCCAAGTGCTGGAATTAAAGGCATGGACTACCACTGTCCCACTAAGACTGAACTTCTGAAGTTTTTGAATTTTTAGAGACTGTGGGACTTTTAAAAGTTGAAATGTGTTTTAGATTGTGATATTGATTTTAACATGGGACCTTGGAGATAAACAAGAAAGGAAAGGTTATGGTTTAATAATGATGTATTAGGATTGACAAGGGATCAGTTGTTCTGATTAGCTTTTTGTCAACTTGATATAAGCAAGGGTCATCTGAGAAAAGGGAACTTCAGTTGAGCCTGGAGTATAGCCCTCATTCATGATTGTCACCATGAGAAGTTTTGCTTTGTACGTTGAAAGGGAAGGTTTTCTCTGACATTACTATTTTGCAACCCTGCTTGTAGGTTTTTTCCCTTTTCTTGGTGTAAATTTGTGGAGCCAGTTGTTGCAATGCTTTCATGTTGCCAGCTTTTTCTTGAATATTACATTTAAACTAATCAATAAATCTCTCTCATTGGTAAGACTTATCCATCTTCATTTTAATTTATGTGTGTATCTGTGTAAGTCTATGTCATGTATGTGTGGGAGCCCGTGGAGGGTATTAGAATATGCTGTATTCCCTGGAGCTGGGGTTACAGGTGGTTGTGAACTGCCTGATGTCTGTGCCGGGAACTGAACTCAGGTCATCTGGGAGTCCAGCAAGTGCTCTCACATGCTGAGCCATCTCTTCAACCCCTAAAACCATTCTTTGTCAGCATAAATAACCTCCAGTCTAGTTTCCAATAGAGTTCTTACTCTCCTTTGAAAGCTCATGAGCACTGGCCTTCCTATTGACCTTCCTATTGTCATTCCCAGCTTCTAAACTTACAGAAGAGCTACTATCCATTAAACTCTTCTTATGCCATGCTAGGGCTTTTCTAGCTCATGACACCAAACTTTTACAGATTCTTTCCAAAAGCCTACAAAGTATGGTCAAGTAGTCATAGCAACAGCTCTACTTCTCAGTATTAATTTTTTGTGTGTTAGTTACTTTTCTTGGTGCTGGGACCAACTATTTCACAATAACCAACTTAATGGAGGAAGGGTTTTTTTGGGCCAGTCCATTAGGTGGGGTAGTATGAATGGTTTGTCTTTAGCATCCAACAAGAAGCACAGAAAGGGAAATGCCAGCAGTCAGCTAACTTTCTCCTTTGTCTTTATACCGTCTGAGATTCTAGCCTATGCAGTGGTGCTGCCTACATTCAGGCCAGGTAATCTTCTCTGGAAACACATCCAAAGATGAGCTTCACTCATGACCCAGGTGTCTAATAATCCAACCAAGTTCTCACAATCAACAGTCACACAGGTAATCGATACTCAGAACTGGAAGACAAAAACAAAAGCAGCATTCCTAATGCTAAGGACTGTAGAGGTCATCAAAGTGAGTCCAAGTCATGAAAAAGATGAATGGAAGAGATAGTAGAAAATGAAAAAGCAGAAGTCAGAGCACAGAGCAAAAAGCTACCCAGTAGAAAATTAGCATGCCTTCTAACAATGAAAAAGGAAGATAGATATTTGTTGTGTGGTTTCAAAAAGAAAAAGGAAAAGGAAATGACCAGGTGGAATCCTTCCTTTGGTTATTTAATGCATACACCTCTTCAATAATTGATATGTACTTTTAGTAAATAATATTCTCTAACTTGTAAGAATGGATTTTTTTTTCCTGAACAGAATTTGGTTGTCCAGTGTAGAAACTTAAAGTGTAGAGTAAAGGGACACCTTGTGACCAGATCCAGTACTGCAATTTGAACTTACCTGAGCAAGATGTCTGGTTCAGAGAAACAGGCTACTTACTCTTGATCACTACTTTTCTGTGTGATAAGGTTGAGGAGCCCTTGAAATATCTCGGAAGACAGTTACACTAGACAACTCTGTAGAAATTCATAGGGTTTTGTGTTCTAGGTTATAGATGTGGACAATGTGAAGACTGAAAATAGAGGCCTCACCAAATTTACGTAAGTGATTCTGGACAGTGAAAACACAGCCACACTTTCTTTTCTGGCTCCGCGATGAATTGCCTTTGAAAAAATAATTATAAGTCCCCTATAGAAACTAAGACTTTCACCAGGTGTGGTGGCGCACACCTTTAACCCCAGCACTCGGAAGACAGAGGCAGGCAGATCTCTGTGAGTTTGAGGTCAGTCTGGTCTCTACAAAGCAAGTTCCAGGACAACTAGGGCTACACAGAGAAACCCTGTCTCAAAAAAAAAGAAAGAAAGAAACGAAAGAAACTAACATTTTCAATAGACTTTCTCTCCAAGAGAATCCAAGTATTTCAAGTCAATGGCTATACACACAGACATACACATTTGAACATTAGTTTTGGAGATCCAAAACTATGCACTTGTAGTTTTATTTAATCAGAAAGAATACAGAACATGGGAATCAATTGAGAGGTATAGCACAAATATTATCAATAGAGTAAATTTAAGTTGGCTGAATATTCTAAATATGAGTAGATAAAATAATAAATCACATGTTGCTGACAAAGATTGAGAATGATATCAGATATTAGAAAAAAAAA